TTTATCCATACTGAGGCAAGTGGGTACAATGCAAGAAATAACGCCACGCTAATTACTCATCCCGATTAAATTTAAGCGAAGCGCACGCCCCCCCCCCTCCACACCCCACCCCGTCAGCTGATTGGCTCATTTGTCGCCTTTCCACACAGGCTATTGTGGAGCTCTCCACCGTGAGGCTGATCATTTCGTAACGAGCCGATTTTAGCTTACCTGTAAAAAATCCACGAATTTGTGCGTATGATATATGATTATTTTCGGAGTTAATTTAAAAAGAGAAATAGTTTGAATTAATTAAGTGGTATTAAAAGGCGACGCTTAAACAGAAGGAGGTAAAATATGCAGTGAAGACAATTGCGTATCCTACTCACAGAAGAAAAGACTAGTACTCCTCTCAGGAGGCTATTAAATAAACTTGGGATAGGGTGTAAAGGATGCACAGTATGCCTAGTTGTATCCACAGCCACAAATACTGTGAAATGAGGAAACACGCCTGCAAATCTGTACAATGAAGACAACTGACAAGGTGAGATTTATGGCACCCTTTGAACGCATATCCAATGCACAACTAGGCGATTGTTGACGGAGTGGCGACAAGAGACATTTGTTCTAATCCTCACTCACCTACCGTGATGACAACGATGAGGAGGTGACAGCAACCTGTCATCATTACTTTACAATAGAGCCTCTGCGCATAAGGTGAATGGGAGAATTTATGGTAAGACCAAATCTCGTGATCACATGAAACCATCAATTCAACTGTATTGATGTCTCTAAATGTGTTTTAAAAAAGGAAAAGCTAATGTCAAAAAAAACACCCAGGAAACATAGCACTCTCATTTTTTACAAGGAGATAGAAAATCCTGGGTAAACTTCAAAATTCCTAAAAAAATTTCACGAACCACACGTAGTTAAATGCTGACTGACAGAAGAAATTAGCACTTGTTGCAAAAATTGATGCAAAACTTTGATTAGGTCAACTCAATCAAGTTCATCAAGTGTATTTTTTAAACTCAAAAACAGAAATGGCAGAAGACAGCTTTAGCGTGGGAGGTCAGTGGGACTAACGGGAGAGATTAAAGTTCTTCATCAAATCTGCCTAATTCTCATACTCTCAAGGTCACAAAAGAATAATCGGTTATTTCTTTAAACTCAACAAACGCGATTAGGCATAGCAAAGTCTAGAGAAATAATTGCCATGCATCTGTCCCAATGAAGTTTTGCGTCACACATATGTGACGCCAAAAGTGACCAGTTATTAAGCACTCTGTAAAGCCCAATTGCTCACACTTGTAAGGTATTTTTAAAATGTGCCACAACCTAGAGTGCTTTTAATGGATGGCCTAAAGAAACAATCGGAGTCTAATGATAAATCACTCCAAAATACAATAGATGCGATAGATTTTGGAAAAATTCCCATCCCTGCTAGTAGCGTGGAATCATGTGCCCCTCGAAAGTCAGGGAGGGAAAAAGAACTTTTGGTGAATTTGAGTGTGGGTGGTATTTGCTTTTAACAACCAAAATACTGGCTACCACGCACATCCCAGTTACGGAGTAGTGGATGACAATAAGTTGTGAGATCCACCAACTTGTTTTCGCTTCTTTCACATAAGTTGTAAAAAGACTCTTGCATCTTAAATTATTAACCGTTTTACTCACTCGCTCAATCACCCACTCACTCATCAACTTGTGGGTGACTATCGCAGGCTTCGTATCAATGATCATACCACTATCCATCTCACGCTTCGACGAAAGGCCTCGATTCAGAAAGAGATGGGATTAATCATTCAGTGGGGATAGATAGGTTTTTTGAAGACAGGACAAGATCTTACAGTAAAAGTGATTTTGGAAAAATTATAGGCAGTTCTTGATGGTGGGAGGGAGTGAGGGAGGGAAACGGACTGCTTCCTCCTCCTTCTGCTCCCACTCTGCTCTTCAATCCAAAGGGATCAAACGATCACATATGAAGTAGGAAAGGCACTTGACAAATAAAAGTGAGGAAGAAATGGAGGATACAGTAGAGAAGTTTGGGTTCCTTCTTCGCCTCCAGAGGCAAAGCACTTTATGAAAGACAATCAGCAGTAAGCCTGTGTTCTCTCACTAGATAGCTCCAACAAATAAGATCTTCTGGGATGATTTTATCACCTTTTGACTCTTTGGTGCTGCTGGTGTGTTGCAATTATCTTCTTTCTACACACACGCACACACTTACCCATAGTGTGAGACAAAGACAGGAAGTCCCCTTTCTGAAGTTAAACTTACACACACAACCAATTTGACATTTAACATTTTGTACAGGAATGGAATCGCATAATTGCAACATCTGACAACCTCGGAGACAAGGAAGCTACGTCTTTCTATAAAATCAAGTGCTGAAAATGACAATGGTGCTTGCACAAGAAGCATACACTGTTTAGGGCTGAAGGGCCAGATTGATAGGAGACGTTACAGTGAAGGTTATAACCCAAAAGGCCCACTAGTGGGTGTGAAGTTTTATAAAGTCTTTTCAGATTGGCAGACTACTGGCTTATTTATTTTTGGCAAGATATTTGAAAAAATGCCCTACCTTTCTAACAAAGTCTACAAGAGATGTGGAGAAGAGTCGAGTGGACTGTTTGTCGTATTTCCCTACCTACCAAGCATTTGAAGATCTTCATCAATTTTCTAAGTAGGGAATATATTAAGCTCGTCTCTGAACTATCCCATCGGTGGGCATACAGTGGTGTTTGTGTGCTTAAGATTCCCCATTTAAAGTAGTCGAGAGAGGAAGGCTTCTATGAGCCACTCATTGCTGAAGGTTGACTACCAGGAATGCTGAGTTTGGTCCTCAAAAAATGCATTTTTTTATTTGTACTTAGCCATGCAGGCCACTTTCTCTGCCTCAGCAATATGCACTGTCGTCTAGGCTGACATCCTCCAAATCCTCCTCTCCTCTCCTCTTTTTTTACCGAATACAGAGCAGTAGCCCATCCCATATTTTGGAGTCCAATCTATTCGAACAGGAAATCTGTTGATAAACAATAGGAAAGTGGGAACATTGTCACTTCAACGGACAGGCTCCTACAACTGGTACGGGCTCGTGAATCTCCGCAAATGTCATCAGTGAAAGAGAGGGTGGCCAAAGTAAAAAAGGCAACTTTCAATATTGTGGAGGTACTCCTGCCTTTGCCCTTCGGTAAAATGACACATGCGGACAGTCACCTACCGCAGCCTACGGCAGAGGCGATTGAGTTGCTACGTGCAAGCATTTACGCAGGTACGAATTTTTATGCCCTGTTAAAAAGAGCAAGCAGATTGGAAACAAGAGAGGATCAGCAACGATAATGTGACTGTCTAAATTCACTTATTTTTGTAGTATGATAGGAGGTAACCGATTGATTAAGCTGTCCAAAGTATCTTAGCCGCTAAAATAAGACATACCTATCTAACTACCCATTTGTCTATCTACCTGTCTGTCTTTTCTTCTGGCTATGTACAACTCCTATCCAACTTCCCCAAAAAAGAAGAAAAGAAATCGAGCTTCGTCCCAAGCATTCCTATTTCTCTCTACCTTCCATGTACTAGTTGTCACCACTGATGTCAGGAAATGGTGGTAAATAACACTTAGGGAAATGATGAGGGTGAGTGGGGGTGGAGGTAGAAGGGAGCAGGATCACCCCTCCCTGGTGCCAAATTATGGCAGATTGAGTTGATTGACGGTATCATACACTGTCTGAACGTCTATTCATGGGGATGGCCCATATTGTGAAAGGATAGAAAATGGCCAGGCAAAAATAGTCAACAAGCGAAGCAGGACCGCCCTTCAAATGCCCCACCAATTCCACTCTCTCACTGCTCAATAAATGGCCTTCCCACCCATCACCGCATTCTGCCACACTCCAAGTCTCCTATTCAAGTGGGCGTCCAGAGCTGATATTCATTCGCTAAGGAAAAATGCCACCTCCCACCAAATGTCACTTAAGCACTCACTTCCTACATACTGAACTCTACTGGCTACAATGCATTCCACAGAACCAGACTAGACTGGACTGAAGTGGAGTGGACTGCACCAGACCAGAGTGGG